AACTCCGGGGCCGTTTGTTCATTGTTTTGGCGTTTCTTGTGATTTTGCGACGAGTAGTTGTCCGCTCCGTGGTCAAGGTTATGCCCTGTCGTGGATTGGCGACTGGGTGGAGGGGTCTGGTGTGGTGTGCATTGCGCACACACTTTTTCTGTGAATTCGCCGGCGGAGAGTACGGGCCTGGGTTGTTGTATTTGGTGGGTGGTGTGCGCTCATGATCAGCCAAGCATAGAAGTCTAGTAAGCCCAGCCTCGACTTTTTTGCACTAATCTGGTTGCGATTGCGGTCTGTTACATCCGCAGATAATAATTGTATTGTGAGGATCGTATAACTCATCTGCGGGGCGTTGGCGATACCTCGTCCGCTGAGGGCTTTCAAGGAGTGGTTGGGTTCTTCGTTTCCAGGTTTTGTGCTGTGATATCTGAGACTGTGAAGGAAGGTAAATTAGAAGTTCAATCTTAGAGAGTGCTTCGCACGACTTCACTGTGGCTGACGGCTTATCGAGGAAGCCACCCCAGAAAGAAAGAGCAAGCTGGAAACAGCTTGACATTGCACAAGGCCTGGTTTACACACACACACACACACACACACAACCACACACACACACACACACACACAGGCAGAGAGAGAGAGAGGAACAGAGAGAGAGAGAGAGAGTAGACTCACGAAGAGAGAGGGGGACAGGGACTGAGACAGACAGAGAGAGAGAGAGGGAGAGACAGAGAGAGAACAGACTCACGCAGAGAGAGGGGGACAGGGACTGAGACAGACAGACAGAGAGAGAGAGAGAGAGAAAGAGAGAGAGAGAGCAGACTCATGCAGAGAGAGGGGGACAGGGACTAAGACAGACAGAGAGAGAGAGAGGGAGAGAGACAGAGAGAGAACAGACTCACGCAGAGTGACGACGGGGCTCGACGGATCTTGAACTCGATTGGCCCCCTTCACCCTACTGATCGCCGAGGACCTCGGAAGCGGGCGCGGCGAAGTGACAGGCGCCGTAGCCCATGGCTTCAGTGAACGGTAGGTAGCCCCTCCCCGGGTTTTCTCCAAACACCGTGCCCACCAGTAACCCAAACCCATGTCCACTAGAAACCCAAACCCACACCAAACCCAAACCCACGCCGACTAGTAACCCAAACCCACGCCCACTAGTAACCCAAACCTACGCCCACTAGTATCCCAAACTCACGCCCACTAGTAATCCAAACCCACGCCAAACCCACGCCCACTAGTAACTCAAACCCACGCCAAACCCACACCCACTAGTAACCCAAATCCACACTAAACCCATGCCCACTAGTAACCCAAACCCACGCCCACTAGTAACAAAAACTGACGCCCACTAGTAACCCAAACCCACGCCCACAAGTAACCCAATCCCACGGCCTCTAGTAACCCAAACCCACGCAAAACTCACGCCTACTAGTTGCCCAAACCTATGCCCTCTAGTAACCCAAACTCACGCCCACTAGTAACCCAAACCCATGCCAAACCCACGCCCACTAGTAACCTTAACCCACGCCAAACCCACATCAACTTGTCACCCAAATCCACGCTAAACCCATGCCAACTAGTAACCCAAATCCACGCCCACTAGTAACCCAGACCGATGCCCACTAATAACCCAAACCCACGCCCACTAGTAACTCAAACCCACGCCCACTAGTGAGTGTGGGTTTGGGTTAGTATTGGGCGTGGGTTTGGCGTGGGTAGGTGTTACTAGTTGGCATGGGTTTCGGTTGCTAGTCGGCGTGGGTTTGGGTTACTAGTGGGCGTGGGTTTGGGTTACTAGTGGGCGTGGGTTCTAGTTAGTAGTGGGCCTGGGTTTGGTTTAGTGGTGGGCGTGCGTTTAGGTTAATAGTGGGCATGGGTTTGGGTTACTTGGGGCGTGAGTTTGGGTTACTAGTAGGCGGGGGCTTGGGTTACTAGTGGGCGTGCGTTTGGGTTACTAGTGGGCGTCGGTTTCGGTTACTAGTGGGCGTGGGTTTGGGTCACTCGTGGGCGTGGGTTTCGGTTACTAGTGGGCGTGGGTTTGGGTTTGGGTTACTAGTGGGCGTGGGTTTGGGTTACAAGTGAGCGTGGGTTCGGGTTACCAGTGGGCGTGGGTTTGGGTTACTCGTGGGCGTGGGTTTCCCGTGGGTTTGGGTTACTAGTGGGCGTGGGTTTGGGTTACTTGTGGGCGTGGGTTTCGGTTACTAGTGAGCGTGGGTTTGGGTTACTAGTGGGCGTGGGTTTAGGTTACTAGTGGGCATGGGCTTGGAATGGGTTTGAGTAACTAGTCGGCGTGGGTTTGGGTTACTTGTGGGCGTGGGTTTGGGTTACTAGTAGGAGTGGGTTTGGGTTACTAGTGGGTGTGGGCTTGGGTTACTAGTGGACTTGGGTTTGGGTTACTAGTGGGTGTGGGTTTGGGTTACTAGTGGGCGTGGGTTTGGGTTACTAGTGACCGTGGGTTTGGGTTACTAGTGGGCGTGGGTTTAGGGTACTAGTGGGCGTGGGTTTGGGTTACTAATGGGCGTGAGTTTGGCATGGGTTTGGGTTACTAGTGGGCGTGGGTTTCGCATGGGTTTGGGTTAGTAGTGGGCGTGGGTTTGGTGTGGGTTTGGGTTACTAGTGGGCGTTGGTTTGGGTTACTAGTGGGCGTGGGTTTGGCATGGGTTTGGGTTATTAGTGGGCGTGGGCGTGGCATGGGCGTCAGCGTTGGCGTGGGCGTTGGCATGGGTTTGGGTTACTAGTGGGCGTGGGCGTGGGCATGGGTTTGGGCTACTAGGGTGCATGGGCGTGGGCGTGGGTTACTAGTGGGCGTGGGTTTGGCGTGGGTTTGGGTTACTAGTGGGCGTGTGTTTGGCGTGGGTTAGGCATGGATTTGGGTTACTAGTGGGCGTGGGTTCGGCGTGGGTTTAAGTTACTAGTGCGCGTGGGTTTGGGTTACTAGTGGGCGTGGGTTTAGGTTACTAGTGGGGGTGGGTTTGGCATGGGTTTGGGTTACTAGTGGGTGTGGGTTTGGCATGGGTTTGGGTTACTAGTGGGCGTGGGCGTGGGCGTGGGCATGGGTTTGGGTTTAGGGTTACTAGTGTGCGTGGGCGTGGGTGAGGGCGTGGGATTGCGTTACTAGTGGGCGTGGGCGTGGGCATGGGTTTGGGTTACTAGTGGGCGTGGGTTTGGGTTACTAGTGGGCGTAGGCATGGGTTTGGGTTACTAGTGGGCGTGGGCGTGGGCGTGGGCATGGGCAT